CAACTGGATGAGAAGTCCAGGAGCCAGCATGGGCCTCTGGGCTGAGGGCTGAGTGTCTGGGCAGGACCTTGGCACAGCAGCCCAGGCCTCTGCATCCAACCTGAGCTGCCCTGGCATTTGTCTGAGGCATGTATGTCATAAGAGGCACTTTCAACTCCAACATGGAGAGCCACCTCTGCCTACCAAAACCCCACCCTGGGGCCATAATTCTCTATTCCTTTCTTGGATCCTGCCTCTCACCATTGGTCACCTCATCTGGTAGAATCCAACCCCTTGGCAGTCTTTTAGGCCACCACATCTTCTCCAGCCCTCCTCATGCCGCCTCTTACGGACTCTGCCCTCCTTCTTCATGGGCCACCAGGGGGATTTTTCTAAAATGCGTATCACTTTCTGCTTAGATTCTCCTCTGGCTCCTTCATGTAGCGGGTGATGTCCAATCTCCTAGTGCAGCTGGTACTCGAGGCCATCAGCCCCCTCTTATCCTATCTTCAGCCATTTAACACCACCTTCCTGAGGTTCCTCAGCTTGCTGTGTCCTCCGTCATGCATTTATCTTTATGGTACACTTAGGGTTCCGTTGCTCCTTCTGCAGTGCTCATGTGGAGTCAGCGTCCTGCCTAGGTGGTCTGCCAGGGCCCTGCCTGGCCTCCTGGCACTTCCTACATGGGCTGTGATCATTACTGCCCTGAAGAGCCATCTTTTACTCTCTTGTCCCCAGTGCCCTGCCCAAGACCGGCACAGAAAAGGCAACTCAATTTAAGTTTGTCAAATCAGTGAAAGTTTGGAGAAAGGGGAGTCACGATGGGATGCTGGGCTCCCAGGAAAGGCAGACTGGATGGGCGGGGCAGCCCCCAGTGTTGGTGGATGGTTAAGATTAAATTGCCCAGGCTTATTGTGAGGGTCTGTGTTTATCACATGAAAACAAATTTGTTTTCAAATCCAATTCTTCAGGAAAAAACATGTTCCCCATTTAAGAGGTGAGAAATGAAGAGGTTTTATGACTCATCATACCTGAGGCAATGTTTTGGGACAGCAGGTGGCATTGAGAAGCCAGCCCTGAACTTACTGAGGAAAGACCATCCCTGAGAGAGCAGGGGATCTGCGTGGGCCTGTGGGAGAACCTCAGTGGTAGCCTTCTGTGGCTACACCTCTCCCATGGTGGGGAGGTGCTTAGGCTCCTCTGCAGGACTGGTCAACCGTTGACCCACCAAAACCGTGTCACTTCCCAGACATCTCAGAGCCAGTGCCAGGCCAGGGGACCTGAAGGAGCAGCAACATCGGGATGCCCTCAAGACATGTGAGCTGCCCTGGCATGTCAGGCTAGGCCTGAGTGCTTTCAATAAACAGTCTCAGTTAATCCTGACAGTTGGCTTTTAAACACATCCTTTGGATCACATCCCTTCACTGCTTCCCTCTGTGCTTAGTATAAAATCCAAACCCCTCTCCATGCACAATTCATTCTGTGGATGTCTCAGGGCAGATGCCTGGGCTGTGGGCCAGGTCCCCGGTGGGGGTGCATGAGAGGCAACCACACATTCTGTGGGTGTCTCTGCTGCTCTTGTTCTTGCTCATTGTGCTCTGCCACACTGGTGCCCTTCTCTTCCTGGAACACACTAGGCCTGTTTCCTGCCTCAGGACCTTTGTACTTGCTCTTCTCATCGTCCAGAGTGACTGTTCCTCAGCTCTTCTGGCTGCTTCCTTCTCATCACTTAAGCTCTCTCTAAAATCAGAGTGAGAGAGTGAGAGAGAGAGAGAAAATCCCCATATACCTTTTGATTCCCCAAAAACTTTACTAGCAGCCTCCTGTTGACTGAAAACCTTACTGATAACATAGTCAATTAAGCCCTTGCTGGTGTGGCTCAGTGGATTGAGCACTGGCCTGTGAACCAAAGCGTTGCCGGTTTGATTCCCAGTCAGGGCACATGCCTGGGTTGCGGACCAGGTCCCCAGCAGGGGGCACGCAAGAGGCAACTACACATTGATGTTTCTCTCCCTCCCATCCTCTCTCTCTAAAAGTAAATCAATAAAATATTTTTTAAAACATAGGCAATTAACAGTACTTTGTATGTTATATATATATATTTGCATATTATATTCTTACAATAAAAAGAAAAGAAAATGTTATTAAAATCATAAGAGAAACTACACTTACAGTATTGAAAAAAAATACTTGTATTAAGTGGACCTGTGCAGTTCAAACCCATGTTGATCAAGGGTCAACTGTACTTCCCTACATTGTAAGTTCAGGGAGCCACAGGCAGCTGGGGCCAGCTCTTTCCCACAGGGGTGGACTGACAGGTGTCACCTCAGAGAACCAGCCCTGCCCCCACCCCCATTCCTTTATAGTAAACTTGGCGCAGGGCGGGTGGCGGCTTTTTGTTGAGTTCATTGTTTATGGTGAGAAACCATTCCTTTCCTCCCTCTCACTCTGAGTATAAGGGCAAGTGCGCCTGCCGGCAGGGCCCTGCTGGCTGCCTGCCTTGGACTCTGCCTGAGCAGGGGCGAGTGGAAGTGAGAGAGTGAGATCCCATACCCCAAGCCAATGAGTCCCAAGGAAGAGCTCAGCCTTCAGATGTCACATGGGGACTAGTGCACATGAGGTGGGTTGTATCTGTCAGCTCTGTTTTACAGACAGGCACCCAACTGGGGGAAGAGCCATGACTTGTTTGAGGTTCAGGCAAACAAGTAGTAAAGCTGAACTTTGAAGCCAGGACTATCTGATTTGAAACTGGATCATTTCCCACATGTGCTCCTGCCTCCCTTCTCTCTCTCTGCCTTTGTCAGGAGCTGGGGGGCTGTGGGGAACAGATGAAGTTTTGTTTCCTGTGGGAGAGCAGGTGTTGTGTGATGGCAGCACGCTGCAGGTGGAGTAACAGGGAGAGCACCACTTCAACTCTGAAACATACCTCTAGGGTGTGAGCATAGAACTGGATAATTTAATGTCTTTGATCTGTTCCGAATGATTTTGATCTGCTCCTTCCCCTTCCCAGTAGCCAGACCTAACCATCTAGTTCAGCTGTGAATATGTGTGTAAATACAAGAAAAGGTTTTGTAAGATATTCACCAACACATGAGCAATGGTTGATTATCTTAGGTGGAAGAGGGAATAGGATTGAAGGGATAACATAAACAGGACTTTACATTTTTACTCTGTAACTAAGTATTATTTGTCTTCTTTTTGTGATTATGCATTTATGTAAAAAGATACCTAAGGAAACCACACTGGACCTGGTTTTATGGAGGCCTAAGAAGGCCACTGCAAGCCTTTTTGCCCGGCCCCAGCAACACCATGCTCTCCTCTTGGATGCAGGCTTGGCGAGGAGGCCTTCAGGGATCCAGGGGCCTCCTGTAGGGTATCCTGCATAAGTTCTTGCCTCAGAGTCCCTCTGAATCTATTGTATCTCTGGGCAACTTGCTACAACAAACACAACTCCCTATGAGTCCTCTCTGAAGGAACTTTGCAAGGTGCGATAATCACTTTTGGAGTTTCCAGTTTAATATTCAACCTGAATCTGAAGCCAGTTGAGTTAGGGTTGGGGCTGTCCTGCCCTGCTCTTGTTCTGTTTATAAACATGTTTATTGCTCTGAGAAGGAGCTGGTTCTTTTCACACAAACAGGATGGGCCTGGGGTCTCTCCAGAGGTTAGTGGGCTCAGAGCATAGAATGAAGTATTTAAAAGCTATAGGTAATCTGCACGTGAAAGATTGTGGAGTGCAACCTGGGCATGGCCATGGGGGTGTGAGTGGGCTTGTTTGCCTGGGCTTTGTAGCCTGGAGAAGGGAATCTGCACTGCTTTTCCCTCCAGAACAGAGCAAACAAATCAACCCTAATTAGGGTTTCTTCTGAGGAAGAAGGTTCCACACCAGCGGCAGGCCTGGTTCTGCTGTGGGCAAGTCTTTTCCAGTGGGATATATTAAATGGATGTTGTCAGAAAACCTTATTTGAATTAATATTTTCTATGGGGAAGCCCTTATAAAAGCAGTATCAGTGCATACACCATATATCCAACAGAAGCAAAAGCAGGGACTTGAACAGATACTTGTACACCCATGTTCACAACAGCATTATTTACTTTGCACCCAAATGTCTATCAACAGGTGAATGCATAAGCAAATTGTGGTCTATTCATATATTGGAATGTTATTTAGCCATAAAAAGGAATGAAATTCTGATAAATGGGGAGGGGCATGGATGAACAGGTAGAGCACAGAGGATTTTTAGGGCAGTGAAAATACTCCATATGATACTGTAATAAGAATACATATCATTTTACACTTCTCCAAAACATAGAATGTACAACATCAGGAGCAAACCTTCATTAGTCCATAAATTTCAGGTGATTTTGATGTGTCAAAGTAGGTTCATCAATTATAACAAATATACCCCTCATAGTGAAGGATGTTGATAATGGAGGAGACTATGCATGTGTGGGGGCAACAGATATATGGGAAATCTCTGTATCTTCCTCTCAATTTTCCTGTGAATGTAAAACTGCTCTAAAAAATAAAGTGTTAAATTCAAAAAAATTTTTTTGATGCATGCTATAAGCATAGATGAACCTTGAGGACATTGTGATCAGTGAAATAAGCCAGAAACAAAAATACAAATAGTGTATGATTCCACTAATATGAGGCACTTAGAGTAGTCAGATTCTTAAGAGACAGAAAAGTAGAGTGGTCGTTGCAGGGAAAAGGGGAATAAGGAGTTGTGTTTCATGCGCACAGAATTTCAATTTGGAAAGATGAAAAAGTTCTAGAGATGGATGGTGGTGATACTAACAACAGAGTATATGTACTTAATGCCACTGAACTGTATACTTGCAAATGGTTAAAATGGTAAATTTGTTACGTGTATATGTAAATTTGTTTTTTACTATTAAAAAACTTTATCAACTGTATCAAAGTGCTTTCTTAAGACAGTCTCCTAATGCAGGTTTTGCACTATAATTCTTTACTTTCTACTTAATGTTCTTAAGTTATTATTTGCTTTTTATATTTTCAGATGAATGCTCTAGATTCAAGAGAAACTGGAATGATCTGGCTATTTACCAAAACTCACTGAAGCAAACCCTTGTGACATCTCCAGACACTTGTACCATTGCAGGCAGAAAGGTTAGTCTGAGGTGCATGGGCAGACTATTGTAAAGGCTGAGAACAGTAGCCTTTAGCAAAAAGAGGTTTTAAATTATGGTATCCTCAACAGTAGACTTCCGTCTTGCTGTCTACCTACCAGCCAGAGAGTCTCATATAGCACATTTTACCCATTTTTTAATATCTGCCTGAATTTCAATAGTTGCTTCAAATGGAGAGACAACACCAAAGTCCCCTAATTCTTCTGTGTCCATTTGCATGTAAAAATGTCCGATTTTGAAATTGTGGCAGATTCATTTATTTCTCAGCCTGTATGTCTACTCCCCACCAGTACTTCTCTGTAGTACCTGCCTGAATCCTAGCTGGCATTTTTAGAAAGTTAAGAGCTAACCTCTGAACTCTAACCTGGGGACAGTGGGGCAGAGTGGGTGTTTGTCTTCCTCAGGATACACAGCTGGTTAAAGGCCAGAAGGCTTCAAGAACTGAAACGAAGTATCTCTTGACTTAACTAGGTCCTCCTGATCAACAGCTCCTTTTCAGAAAGCCCATAGGCTGCAGGGTGGTGGTGTCTGGGAGCCTGATTGGTCTTCCACCACATAGCTGGGAGTTATTTTCAGCAGGGCCAGGCTCTCTCCAAGTCCTCCTGGGAACTGTTTCTAGCCTCTGGATATTTTGTAATCTGTGTGACCTATTATAGTAACTTTATAAGTACCATGAAAAGAAGTTATACTCCATAGTTCACAGTGAATTCTCAGAATATCCACTTACCTTAAATGGAAGCCCTCCTAATACTACAAAGTGAAACGAAAACATGTTCTTTAAAATGTGAATCTTCATATATGCATATTAAGCATGGTTTTTAATCCTACAGGGTATGGCATGGCAAACAGGTTAGCAGAAAAGCCTGTGAGAGGGGGCTGGAGGATTTAACTGCTCTTTGCCACCTCCTGGCAGCCCAGGGCCCTCCTCTCAGGTACGCCCTGCACTATGGACTCCCAGGGGTACAACTGCTTTGTGGATAGAGATAAAATGAACACTGCCATCCAGGACCTGGGACCCAAGGAACTGAGCTGCACAGAGCTCCAAGAGCTGAAGCAGCTGGCACGCCAAGGTTACTGGGCCCATAGCCACACTCTGCGGGGGAAGGTGTACCAGCGCCTGATCCGGGATATCCCCTGCCGCACAGTCACGCCTGATGCCAGCGTGTACAGTGACATCGTGGGCAAGATTGTGGGTAAGCACAGCAGCAGCAGCCTGCCCTTGCCTGAGTTTGTGGACAACACGCAGGTGCCCAGCTACTGCCTGAACACACGGGGCGAGGGTGCTGTTCGGAAGATTCTGCTGTGCATTGCCAACCAGTTCCCTGACATCTCCTTCTGCCCTGCCCTGCCTGCAGTTGTAGCCCTGCTGCTGCACTACAGCATCGATGAGGCTGAATGCTTTGAGAAGGCTTGCCGCATCTTGGCCTGCAATGACCCCAGCAAGAAGCTGATTGACCAGAGCTTTCTGGCCTTTGAGTCTTCCTGCATGACATTTGGGGACCTGGTGAACAAGTACTGCCAGGCAGCTCACAAGCTGATGGTGGCCGTGTCGGAGGATGTCCTGCAGGTCTATGCAGACTGGCAGCGCTGGCTATTTGGGGAACTGCCCCTCAACTACTTCGCTCGTGTCTTTGATGTCTTCCTGGTGGAAGGTTACAAGGTGTTGTACCGTGTTGCGCTGGCAATCCTCAAGTTCTTTCACAAGGTGAGAGCTGGGCAGCCACTTGAGTCAGACAATGTGAAGCAAGACATCCGTACCTTCGTCAAGGACATTGCCAAGACTGTGTCTCCCGAAAAGCTGCTGGAGAAAGCATTTGCCATCCGCCTCTTCTCTCGGAAGGAGATTCAGCTCCTGCAGATGGCCAATGAGAAAGCTCTGAAGCAGAAGGGCATCACTGTCAAGCAAAAGAGGTAGGCCAGCCTCTGGGCAGGCTGCCAGGGGCCCGCTTAGGGTGGGGCTTTGGTGGAATACCTCCTGAGGTCTTGGGCATAAGCTTGTCCTGCCAGCCTCTTATTCTGCCTGCTGCCAGCCAGCCATGTGTGCATGGATAGAAAACCAGAGGAAAGGAGAAAGGGCCTTCCTGGATATAGCCACAGGCAGCTGAGGCAACTGTGGGAATGGAAGGTGCAGGCTACTATCCTCAGGCCTGAGGCCCATGACAGAGATGAAAGCTGGGTGTTGACCAGGTGGTTAGAAGATCAGGCAGTGGGCTGGGCCTGGGCCTCTGGTCATTTTACAGCAGCCCCTTTTCTACTGCTCCAGCTCTGGGCTCCCTTTCTGCTGGGCTTGGTCCCCTGCCCTGAGCACAGCCCCCTAGGGAGCAGAGAAAGGAAGGGCCCACTGTGTCCTGAGACTGTCTCAGTGGCAGATGAGGTAACTGTAGGTGTGGAGGCCTTTCTTCCAGGCCAAACGCAGGCACCTCCTGGATTATCAGTACTTACCACTAACCTCTCCTTGTCTGTGTTTATTTTTCTTCTTCTCCATGCCCGTTGCTTCCTCCTGTTTTTCAGTGTTTCACTTTCTAAAAGGTAGGTCTGGAAACCACATCTCCATGCCTGGATTCTCTCTGTCTTCTGGCCTAGCTGCTTGTGCTGGCTGTCAGGGCTGGCTTTAGCAGTGCTGCCTCAGAGCCTGGCAGCTGTTCAGGTGCCATCTGTTTGTCCCTCTGTCTGCTTGGTTGCCTCAGTTGTGCTCTCTGCTGGTGCTTGCCTGGCCCTGAAGCATTATCTTGCCAGAGCTGACTCACTTTCTGTCCCCATTTCTTAAAAAAAAGGTGCTTTTGTCCCCACCTGGGCTGGGTGCTCTCCCCTCTTAGTAATGAAATGGGAGTGAGGCTCCAGGGGACAGCTCCACCGGATTTATTCCTTAGAGTACCTAGGACCAGGCTTTAACCTGTTTGAACAGGTGAGAAGTTCACTCCAGGCTTAGCTTCCAAGAGAGCCAATGCACACCCCGGGGCGGAGGACTGTGGTCAGGATAGGGATCGCCGCTGTGCTCTGAACCTCTCCTAACTCTCCCCAGGCAGTTTGTGCACCTGGCTGTACATGCGGAAAATTTCCACTCAGAGATTGTCAGTGTGAAGGAGATGAGAGACATCTGGTCATGGATCCCTGAGCGATTTGCTCTCTGTCAGCCCCTCCTGCTCTTCTCCTCACTGCAGCATGGGTACAGCCTGAGCAGGTAATGCCCAGGAGGCTGGAGGCTGGACCTGCCCTCTGAGGCCCTGAGGCATGGACACCGAGGGCCAGTTATTCCAGTAAGGGCAGAGGGAGGGAGCAGTGAAGTTTCTTAGCCTCTTGTCCTGCCTGTGCTTTCAGGAGATCACACTGGGTGAGGCCCTGCCTCTTCCTGGGGGGCTAGAATTGGGAGGTACTTTTCTGGGCTTCTCTCACTGCCAAGCCACTTAAATTCAAGGGTCATTGTCGTGCACGCCACAGCTCCAGGTCCCCATGTAGGTGTCGTGACGACACAGGAGGCTTAGCTTACAGAACTATAAGAGGACGATTCAAGGAAACAGGCGGTGGTTCAGAACTCCCCACCCCCACTCCGTCAGTCCACAAACCAGGAACAGGATGGCCCTGTGGAGTTGGGGCTGTGCCGGCCTCTCCAAGGCAAACTACCTCCCTGGCAGCTCTGTCAGGTTCCACCCCGCTCCTTGAGCCTCACACTGCAGGTGGCCTCAGAAATTCTGGCTTGGGTCACAGGTGACCTGGCAGAGGCAACACAAGCAGAGTTGGCCTAGCCCATGTGGTGGGCATCGTCTGCAGCCCAACAAATATTATGGCACAGCTGGAGCTGCATTCACCCCGCCCCAACCTCTGTGGCATGGGAAGCCCACTGGGGAATGATTAAGGAGAGCCGCCAGGGCTACCAGCCAAGCTCTGGGCACCTGGAGCCACCACAACGGCAACCTCAGGCCTCCTTACATGCTTCTCGGTGCTAGCTGGCTCCCACATGCTCGGACTCTGAGCTTTCCTAGACCACGGATATGTTCCTCTTGTTCTTGCCTGAAACACCTGGCATGCAGCTCTGTCTGCTGGGGGCTCTTTGCCATGCTGCCTCTCCCCCCACCAGACTGCTCAGCCTGCAGGCCGCCTGTGGGGAGCTATATTTTGTCTTAGAAGAGTGCCTAGGCCAGAGTGTTGCCAGCTCCTTGGCCACTATGTCTGGTCCCCAGGAGATAAGGAAATGCAGTTCCCAGGCCCGTTTACCCCTAGGCAGTCCAGGTTTCTCAGACACTGGGGATACCAGTCAACAAAGGCTGGCTAGAGGTGGTACGGGGAAGGGGTACAGGGTAACTGCTTCCCATTAGGATTGGAATGTGTGGTCTCTTCCCAGGTTCTATTTCCAGTGTGAAGGACATGAGCCCACCCTCCTGCTCATTAAGACCACACAAAAGGAGGTGAGCAGGAACCAGAGGGAACCTGGGGTCCTTGCCTCTGAGTTCTGGGGAGTCTGCTGCTCCTATGCCCCAAGAAGGGCGGGTACTTCTGCAGCCTCCACCCAGCCTTCCTGTGCTTAGGGGCACAGAGCAGAGCCACCCTCCACATGAATCCAGGTCCCTGTCTGACCCCCAAGCACCCAGGGCCTCCTTGTTCCCCCTGAGGGTCCAGGCCGTGCTGGAGCAGCCTTGCTACTTAGGAGGAGCATTGCAGCAATGCCCAGTAAGCATGGCCCTGCCTCCTCCTAACACATGGGCCAGTGCCAGGCGAGTTGGCTGCTGTCACCTGCCTCCACCCTCTACCAGGTAGTTCTCAGGGCCCTTTCTTCTGCAGTACCTGTCTCCTGGAAAGCCCTCTGAGACTAGGGAGATAAGAGCTCATGTGCCCTCATCCTGGGGGTGTCTGCCTGCATTAGAGGCTTCTTGTTCAGTGGCTCCCAAACCTGCACCCATGGGGATTTTAGGTTCCTCATCCCATTCCAGGCTCTGCATCTAGGTTTCCAGAAGGAGCCTGGGCATCTGTATTATAGCAAGTGACTCTGTCAGACACTTTGGGGAAATCCTGCAGCCACTGGAGGGACTTGACTCTAATGGTGAAATCAAGCGCTTTGCTGGCTGACGAGGTTGGAGAATGTTGTTGAGCAGGCATACCTCCTGCAAGCCTTCATCCCAGGGGCCTCCCAGGGGCTTGTGTGCAAAATCAGAGTGTGGACATGGGGCTTGTTCCCATGCTTGAGGGCCAAAATGGAAATACCCCAGAAAAGCTGATGGCAGCTACCCCCGTACTCTCACTGACAATCCCATGCCTTCCAAACTGACTCCCCACACCTCTCCTAATCTTCAACCCTTGCCCTTGAGTGGGGGTGGGGGATGCTGTGGCAGTACCACCCCGCCCCAAGCTGTGATGGTACCATGGCCCCTCAGCAGGGCCCCAGGAGCAAGGGGATGCCCCTGCAGGCCAGCACAGTGCAGCCTCACCTTGGATCTTTCTCCCTAGGTGTGTGGAGCTTACCTGTCAACAGACTGGAGCGAGAGAAATAAGTTTGGAGGCAAACTGGGCTTCTTTGGGACCGGAGAATGCTTTGTGTTTAGGGTAAGTGGGTCTCCCTGCAGGTGCTCTGAGGTCAAAAGGCCCAGCACCCCCATCAGCCCCTGCACTCCCACTTTCATGACCCTGTTTACTTCTGTTATAGCAGTTACCCTACAGGATAACCTCTCCATTTTCTTCTGGTTTGTGATCATTAGACCATGAGCTCCACGAGAGCAGGCGGGCCCTTACCTGCCCTGTGTGGCACGGTTTCCCTGGCCCTGGCATGAGGCCTCATACATGAAGGACTTCAATGAAGTTTTGTGGGAGGAAAGTGGCCAGAAGGGCCCTGTACAGGGCATGGTGTGCTAGCTCCTCATACTGCCCTTTCGCCCTCAGTTGCAGCCAGAGGTCCAGCGCTATGAGTGGGTGGTCATCAAACACCCAGAGCTGACTAAGCCAGTGTCCTTGGAGGCCACTGCCACTCCGTCCCTCCTCTCCCAGTCATCCTTGTCCTCATCCTCAGACCCCGCTGACCGCCTCTCACCGTTCCTGGCCACTCGGCACTTCAACTTGCCCTCCAAGACCGAGTCCATGTTCATGGCTGGGGGCAATGACTGCCTCATCATAGGTGGGCATCTCCCTTCATTTCAGGCTGGTCTCACTTAGCCTGGGAGAAGGGTACAGGGTCGTGGGTGGCCAAAGCCCCTGGGTCAGCCAGTGCTGACCCAGATGGCAGGTGCCTCACCTGAATGACAGGCAGAGCCCCCGTGATGGCAGAGGAAGAGAGCAGGCATGAGGAGCGGGAGTGGGGACAGGTGTTCTGGGTAAACTGGCTGGGAAGGGGGTTCTAGCCTAGATTTTGGACCCCAGCTGAGGACTGATGGGCTTTGGAGATTTGAAGGTCAGCCCTATGGTTTTAGGCCTCTGGCAGTGCTGGGGCAGGGACAAGAAGAGATGCTCAGGGGCAGGAGGAGAGTACCTCCTGGGCAGTGCCAAACAGGGGCAGCCACTGACTGAGCATCCTCCAGGTGGAGGAGGTGGCCAGGCTCTCTACATCGACGGGGACCTGAACCGGGGCCGCACGGGCCACTGCGACACTTTCAACAACCAGCCTCTCTGCTCCGAGAACTTCCTCATCGCTGCTGTGGAGGCCTGGGGCTTCCAGGACCCTGACACCCAGTGACAGGCCTCTGCTGACGGTGACTGAGCGGCACGCTGTGGGATGGGGTGGTGGGGCGGTGGCCGGGCCCTCACTTCAGGGAGGAGGCAGTGAATGAAGACCTCCTCACCACATGCATGGGCAGAGCTGGGGCCCTGATGCTGGGCTGGGCAGGGGTGCCAGGGCCTCAGCTGGCCAGGCCCGTTCCTAGCCAGACCCTGCTAGGACCTGCTTAGACTTACCACTGCCTCCACCTTGGACTCAGGCCCTGGCTCTCCTTTGTGGGCCATGTTGTGCCCAATGCTTGGGAGGGGCTACGTCTTTCTGAGCTAATCCCTTCATGGTGGAGACTGGACTGGAAAGGCAGGAGTCCTGCCAGAATGTGGGTTTATGGCACCCCCTGCTGGCCTGCGCACAGGGCCCTGCAGCCTCCTGTCTGACCTGCTGCTGTGGTTCCCAAAAGCTGTGTTGGTCCTGAGAAGAGACAGGTGCCCTGGGGACTATTTCTCGGCAGGAGCGTCTGCCTGGGGCCTCTAACCCAGTTTGCTCCTTCCCCTACTGGCCTCCTGGGGCTGCCTCTTGGAGTTTACAAGGTGAAAGAGGTCGGGAAAGGCAGGATCTGTGCTGAGCTCTGGGCTCCTCCCAAGGGAGGGCCGAGGGCCAGTGGGCTGAAGGGCTAGAAAGGACATCATGTGTCCTTGTGTTTCTGCAGAGCCTGAAGCTTCTGCTGGGCTTCATTGTGTACTCACACCTGGAGAGGCCTCCCAAGATGGCCAGGGGAGGGCCCCCTGACTTCAAACCAGCCAGCTCCATCTCCAGGGGCCTGCCTGGAGAAGCCCGGACCCACAGAGCCTTCTCCAACCCTCCTCCTCTCCAGCCAGAGCCTCCTTAGCTGCCCTACTGTCTCTGTGGTGGCCCTGTTTCTCCTCCATGTCGCTGCAGTGTTCTGGTTCCCAGGATCCCATCCAGACTCCTCAGCCTGGTGCATTTGTCTCATCCAGTCCTACCCACCTTCACTTCATTGGGGGCCACGAGTTCGTGTACTAGCTCTGCACCCTCCCCAGCTCCCTGCTCACATGGCACCTTCAACACAAGCCCCTCTGCATCCTTCTCACAGCACTGTGGTCAGCTACATAGCATGATTCTCTTGTGCTGCCACCTCTCCCCTTCTGCCCTGTCCTGCCTGGTTTTGCACTGGACTCATGCACAGTAGGTGCTAAGTGAAGATTAGCTAGTGAACACCAGGGATCAGCCTTCTTGCCCCATGACCTCCCTCAGCTGGTCCTGAGGGCCTGGGCACTCAAGAGGGAAGAGAGGAGAAGGAGACACCCAAGTGGCTGTGCTGCAACAACCTGGACCAAGGGTTACTGCCTTTCAGCCAGCCCCCTCAGCGTCTCTGCATACCACACCCCTGCCCAGCTGCACACTGTGCTTGCTCTTCCTGTGAGGTATTTGTCCTCCTTCCATCCACCTACTCAGATCTCCTCTGAGCCAGACCATAGTGGGGCTGAAGAAAGGACCAGGAAACTTGTGTGGCTTTGGAAAAGCCAGTGAACCTGTTTGGAACTCAGTTTCCCCAACTGTAAAATGGGCCAGTCATCCTGCTCTGCTGTCCCCCAGGACTGTTGAAAGGCTGTGAAGGAAAATGTGGTGGGAGGTGGTGCTTACCCACCACCCAAGATCACTACAGCCATTGCTACTCCCCCTTCCTTTGAGCCCCCACAGCTCTCGCCTGTATTTTGGTGTTCATTAAACATAGTCTCATTACATAGTCTAAGTTTGGTCTCTTCAACCAGAAGGGCCTCCAGGGGCTCCTCCATTCTAGGCTTGTCACCAAATGGGCTCTAAGAAGCTTGTCAGTGTTTTATCACTGGAATTTTAAAGGTCTTTTAAAAACATAACCTTTCAGAAGCAGCTAAATGTATATTTGAGTACTATTTGCATGACTCTCTCTGCAAGCTTCCTGAACTGGGGGATTCTTTTTCTGGTAAGTCCAGAGGAGTCTCTGTGGCTGCTCCAAGGCTCTGTTGGGCCTTTGCAGAGATCCAGCCAGGGAGAGCAATGCTACTTGGTCATGATTTCTATATCATGAGATCTTTGTGTATACATGCAAAATGGTTTCTTTGAATTTTTTTAGTAGTTTATTTTTATTGTATTTTTCCATTACCATTTATCCCCTTATACCCTCTTCCACCCCACTCTGAATTTCTTATCTTCTAATTTTTCTGCTAAACTAAAAGGTATGTGTGATTATTATCTTTATTTTTCTCATTATTGTCCTTATATGATATTTGGTGTTCCCAAATAGCACATAATTTGTTAATACTCTCTATTATTTCTTCTTGGTTATTTATTATTAGCTTTTGATGTTAAAAATTAGCCAAAGTTTTATGGACTTGCATAATGAATTACTGTTTTTCTAGAAGTGTTTAAAAGTTTATTTTAAAAACAAAAAACTCAATATAGTTTAAACCACTTCATTCAGTGATTCATTAAAATGGGCTGTATGTCTTTAGGTTTTCAGAAAATCAGTTTTTCAAAAATAATTTTTAACATAAGAATAAGCCATTTTATTTTTCAGAGTTTTAATTATTGAATTAAAATTAGTTTTTCAGCCCTGACCAGTGTGACTCAATTGGTTGGGTGTTGTCCTGCAAAGGGAAACATCAGCCTTGGCTGGTGTAGTTCAGTGGACTGAGCACCGACCTGTGAACTGAAGGGTCGCTGTTTTGATTCCCAGTCAGAGCACTTGCCTGGGTTGTGGGCCAGGTCCCCAGTAGGGGGCATGGGAGAGGAAACCACACATTGATGTTTCTCTTTCTCCCTCCTTTCCCCTCTGTCTAAAAATTATATATATATATATATACACATATATATATATACATATATATATGTATATATATGTATATATATATGTGTATATATATATATGTATATATATATGTATATATATATGTATATATATGTTTAAAGGGAAACATCACCAATGAAAGAAAAACATCAATTGGTTGCCTTCTCATACATCTTGATGGGGATTTTGAACCCATGACCTCTCAGTTTTCGGGACAGCGCTCCAATCAACTGAGCCACACTGGCTAGGGCAATAGATTCAGTTTTAACTTTATATTTTGAAGTAATTTTAGATTTACGGAAGAGTTGCAAGATGGTACAGAGTTCCATTTATTCTTTCCCCAGCTTCCTCCAGTGTTAATATTGTACTTTCATCAAAACAAATTAACATTGGCATAATGCTATTAACTTAAACTATACTCTTTTTGCCCTGGCTGACATGGCTCAATGGATTGAGCACCAGCTGACTGATGTTTCTCTCACACATCTCACACATTAATGTTTCTCTCCCCCTCTTTCTCCCTCCCTTCACCTCTCTATAAAAATAAATAAAATCTTTTTTTAAAAAACTATAACCTTTTTTGTTCTGAGTTTTTCTGCAGCCTTTTTTCTGTTCCAGGAATAGACTTAATTTTTATAGACATCTACCTTCCCACATTTTTATTAAACCCAGAATGTAATCAAATGCACAAGACTTAACACTGGTTTAAAAAAATGCCACTAATTAGGTAGTACAGAGACTGTCTCAAACATGTATTCATATATTTTGACTGTTTTCATCTCTGCCTAAATGCCTTGTTGCACAAAGAATTTACTAAATGGAGTGGGGGTACCAAGCATATCATGGTGCTTCCCTTAACAAATAGGCAGAAAAGCATGAAGATTAAAAAAAAATAGTCTGGTGGAGCCCTGACCGGTGTGGCTCAGTTGGTCATTGTTCTGCAAGGGGACAGGTCGTAGGTTCAATTCCTGGTCAAAGCACATGCATGGGTTGCGGGTTTGTTTCCCGTTTGTGGTATGTGTAAGAGGCAGCCAGCTGCTGTTTCTCACACTGATGTTTCCCTCTCTCTCTCCCTTCCCTTCCCTCTAAAAATAAATAAAACTTTTTTTTTAATCGGGTGTAAAAAGTTGTATCACCTTTGTTATATTAATGTCAGATTACACTCAAGTTAGGTACAGCATCATGTCATTTGTTGCTAAAGATGAAATGCGTCCACACATTTGCAAACATGCTCCCAACCATGTAGAATTTGTCGGCACTGCACTTGGGACTCAGGAAGCAAAGTCAGTGGACACACCCAGGACATGACAAACATATCAACCAACAAAACCTCCTACTTCAGATTGCTGAATCCACAGGTGCATTATCTGGCTGCTCACTTATTTTACCAGTGAGAAGCTCTTTCATCAGAAGCACCCTGGCTAGAGGGATACTGCGGTCCCTCAAGGCTATCAACAACAGGGTGAAGCTCATGTAGCGCAAGCAGTCCCAGCCTGTTTGTTTTGTTTTTATTGATTTTTTTTAAGACAGGAAAGGAGAGATAAACATTAATTTTTCATTCCACTTATTTATTCATTAATTGGTTGATTCTTGTATGTGCCCTAATCAGAGATAGAACCCCTAACCTTGGCATGTTGGGATGACACTGTAATCAACTGAGTTACCCAGCCAGGACCAGTCTCAGCCTGTTCTAGCTTCATGCAAAGAGGCAGGAGCAGACCTCTGCTCTATTTCATACTGAAGGGCATTGACTGGCAAAGGACATATTTTGTCAAAAACTTATGAGTTAAAGACTGAAAAGAAAAATGTGATTAATTTTTACCTTTCATTCCAGTGTAGGATGGTTATTGGCTGAAAAATGGATAATTGGACACTTTGGAGCATGTAAATAAGTGTAGTAAAAAATTGCAAGGACCATATAAAAATTAATATGTAGTGAGAGAATGTGTGACTTTTCAACACAATCCAACTTTGGAAAGGTGAAAATAAGTGATTTAGTAATATGTTTGGTCAATTTTAATTTGATTCATAAAATCAATGAGAACAAATGCAACAACATCACTGTGAAATATTTGTTACAAAAACATTACAATGGGATGGGGAGCCCTGCGTACATCACCTTCAGAACTGACATCACCTGTGGAGGAGAACGAAGCGCCGGATTCGGACTTGAAGGAGTATTGCTCCTTTAAAGAATTTAGAAGACTGCATTAGCTGATTGAACAGAAAAGTTTCTCTCCATTACAGGAGATGTGTGTCCTGCTCCATGTGCTGCCAAGGCCAGTGCAAACCAAGTCCTTCCCTGATTTTGTTTTGTTTTCTCTTGTTCACACAGCCTGTCATGTAGACATGCTCCATAAATAAGGGATGAGAGGAATGGCCAAATATCTCAGTCAAGAATTGTTTGGATCCTTGTCATGTGGAAAACTCAGTATCAAAAAGTCATGCTCATCAAAATGAGAATATTTTATCTGGAAGGTTATATAAGTCAATGTCTTTTCTAATACCTAGGATTTTAATTCGGTGTACCTATGTGGTATAAAGGTAAACATACCACCTTTTTTCTCCACCTGTCTGTCTCATCCCAGTGCCTTTCCCTTCCTGTACCTGCTGTGGGAGTGGGGACGGGAGGGGGGCTTTTGCCCCACTCCAGTGAAACTGCTGCTTCTCTCTCTTTCCTTCTATTCTGCTTCCTGACTCTGTCTCTCAGGATGGAGACAGGCTCTCTCTTCCTTTGCAGCTATATCAAGACAAAGACCCTGTCAGCACTCTGCAGCCTGCTGCCCTAATGGGTGGGGCCCTGGCCCAGGTCTGAGAGGTCCTGGTAGGACAGGAGAATGCAGGCTTGGCGCCAGCTCTTTTTCATTTCCTCCTCTAAACCACCAGCCTCTGCCTGCAGGCCTTTACACAGGCCGTTTACCACCCCTCAGTCAGCTGCAGTGCCTCTGCACCAGGACGTTCTCTGAGGCTCCAGGAGACAGCACTTTGCAAGTCTCCCCATTCCCTCCCCTTGAGACTGTCAGCTGGAGAGCAGGAGCCTCCATATGGTCCTGCCTGTGTTGCTGGTGTCATCCAGCGTGATGCTGGAATAGAAATGGGTGTGCAGTGGTCTCGTGGCAGTGTGCATTTCCGGTGCCCATGGTTGAGAAATGCCACCAACATTCCTGGCAATGACAGTTTTTTTACTGTAAGCATGCTCAGGATCTTCTTGTGATTGGCATTAAGGCATTATAACACAAGCCAGAATTGGTGAAAGGTGCCCTGGCCTGAGCAGCTGGGGTACAGAGCAGTTTTTGAAAAACTGCTGATGTTTCGGAACCCTGCCTGCCTCAGGCCAGGTTGGCTCAGGTGGCCACAGAGTCTGCTAGGGGCTTGGACAAGGCAGAAACACCCTCTCCTCCCCTGCCTCTCACCACCTCATGTGGGCCCCGTTTTGGACCTCATCCATGGTAATCATGTGCCAGCTCATGATTACCCCATCTGTAGCCAGCCACAGAAGTGCTTTGTTTTTTATCTTTTTTAAGACTAACCATTTTATTCTATTTTATTTTTAACCCTCATCTGAGTATATGTTTATTAACTTTAGAGAGAAAGGGAGAGAGAGAGACACATTGACCAGTTGCCTTCCATATGCACCTCAACCAAAAATTGAACTCACAACCTAGATTTGTGCCCTGTCCTGGGATAGAACCTGCAACCTTTTGAGCCACTTGGACAGGGCTGAATTTAACCATTTTAAAGTGAACAATTCAGTGGTATTTAGTGCATTCATAAGGCTGTGCAACCACCACCTCTAGATCCACATCATTTTGGTGCCCCAAAAGGAACCCTGTGCCCATTAAGCACTTGTTGCCCACTCTTGCCTGTCTTAGGATTTTTGAAAGGTAAAATGCACACCTACGAAAAAAAAAACCAA